ATACTGAAGAGTTGGATTTTTTTTTCTTTCTTTCTCCAAAAACTTGCTTATGCTGTTTCTTCTGGCTGAACTGACATCTCCCCCAATCCTGGCCAATCTTCAAGGTCTACCTCCTATGCCACTTTTTCCATAATTCCCTTTACCCCCTATCTAAAGACTCTCTTCACCTTCTCAGCGAGTGTATCCTCCTCCCAAATGGAAATATTCTGGCCACTGAAACCACAGATGAGTAACTTGTGCTTATTCCATCTCATTTTAATCCCTAATGCTCACTACTTTCCACATTCTGTTATAGTTACTTGTGTTTAGTGCTTGTAACTCATATATGCAAACTCCTGTAAGCAGGGACTTCCTATTTTTTATAGCTCTTCCACATACAGTGTTTACTAGTACACTGCAGAATTTTGTATGGTTTATTTTCTTTGAAAATTACATTATGATAAGGTTCTATTTGTCTTGTGCCATTTTGAGAAAATAACTGAATAGTGAGAGAACATACAAATATGTCATAAAACATAAGACTTCTTTTTTTCATTTTACTTTCTTACAAGAATATTTCAGCCCAGATATATCCTTAATTTAAATTGCACCTGAATACTAATTATTTACTTGTATTTTAGGAAATTAACAATTTTTAAACAAAAAGTTGCTACAATGTTAATCAACGATGATTCAAAATACTACATTATCAAATAGGCACTTGAATTGCTCTATTTATATATTATCTTGAATTTATAACTATATTACTTTAGAATTTCATTGAGGCTAAAAATGATGACTAACAAAGTTACTAAAACAAGTTGTATTTAATTTCTTTAATTTCTATGAAGTTTTTTTGTCCTGAAAATTTTTGATGATTCAAAAATTAGCTCATATAAATAAATCTAAACTATATCCCTTTATTTTCTTTAAACCTTAATTTTCACATCTTTAGTACTCAACTTTAATAAAAAGATACTTGGAACTGCTACTAAATTTTCTCAAACCATAGTAATCATTATTCCATAAATTAAATTGCTGATACGTTATATTAAAGCAAATTGTCGGGGCTGGAGTGATAGCACAGCAGGTAGGGTGGTTGCCTTGCATGTAGCTGACGCGGATTTGATTCCCAGAATCCCATATGGTCCCCCAAGCACTGCCAGGAGTAATTCCTGAGTGCATAAGCCAGGAGTAACCCCTGTGCATCACCAAGTGTGACCCAAAAAGCAAAATAAAAAATAAATAAATAAATAAATAAAGCAAATTGTCTATATACATAGAACCCTTAGAAAGGCATTATAAACCTGAAAAATGGGTGCCTAAAAAATTTTAAATGCAAAATTTTTCAAGTCACAATTCTCAGTCAATTATTATTAGAATTTAATCAGATTTTGCATGATTTTCTTTTCTTAAATTTTCATAAACATCTTTATTTCAATGAAACCTATTTCATATTTTGATTGAATGTCTTATTTGATTTGTACAAGGGAGAGGGAACAAAATCAAACTACTGGACTCCATTACTGACACCTACCAAAACTTCATTCTAGCTCTTCAAATATGTAAATATGACAAATAATGCTGCAAGTGTGTGGCATATTGTAGGAACTCATATACAAAGTGTTTCATACATATTAGCTCACTTGATCCAGACAACAACTCATTCAGATAGGTAACATATTTAACCCTTGATTAGGAAAGTAACTCCAAACAAAATGACTAAGCTCTTAAGTGGTATAACTAAGATTTGAATAGTCACTAAACACTTTAGTTGTGCATCTCTTATTACAGCCAGCTGTCACAAACCAGGTAAAGGTAAGGTAAAGGCCCTCCCGTTGATCGTCGATTTGCTCGAGTGGGCCCAGTAACGTCTCCATTGGAGACTTTGTTGTTACTGTGTCTGGCATATCGAATACTCTCGGTAGCTTGCCGGGCTCTCCGAGAGGGGCGGAGGAATCGAACTCGGGTCGGCCATGTTGGCCGCTTGTAAGGCAAACGCCCTACCGGCTGGAGCGATAGCACAGCGGGTAGGGCGTTCGCCTTACAAGCGGCCAACATGGCTGACCCGAGTTCGATTCCTCCGCCCCTCTCGGAGAGCCCGGCAAGCTACCGAGAGTATTCGATATGCCAGACACAGTAACAACAAAGTCTCCAATGGAGACGTTACTGGGCCCGCTCGAGTCACAAACCAGAAGAATGTGAAAACCAAATTCCTCTAATACAATAAAAGATGTAGTCAGAAGCAACATTAGGTGTCATGCCCTTCTGAGGATATGAATTAACAAAGGTTTTGCATGCATTTTTCTGTTAATTGCAGCCAGCACAGAGATTAAAAAAAAAAAGAGAGAGAGAGAGAGAGAGAGAGAGAGAAGAGAGCAATTCCTGGATGCCAAATATCCTTCTGATGTAAAACCTACTTTCTGGTTTCCTGTTGTCCCCTTCTTCAAAGCCTGAGGTGAATCCTTATCTCCCATTTTACTTAAAAGCCTCCTGGAATGACCTAGTTAGCCCCAAATGCTCTCAACCTTGCTACTCTTGTTTTTTCTAAAATATAATCCCTATGAGGTCAAAACGCCTTTTCATAATTACCTATACCAAGCCTGGAATTAGATAGGCTTATTATTAGATAGCCTTATTCTACCCTGAGCGAACAAATACTTGTGGGCCCTTTTTCTGCCTGTTCTCAAATAGCAAGATTCAATTCTCTCAAAACAACTCACAACTATAGTTTATAAAACAAACAAAGGTATTTTATTTATTCACAATCTATAATATGCTGATATAATAAATCACAGATTATTAAACAACTTAATAACTTGTAAAAACTGTTAAATTATTGCTTAAACAATTTGAAATAACCCTTTATCTCTATAATTCAAGAAATTTCCATGAGAAAAGTGATACATAATTCTCAGGATCTGTGGTGTCCAAATTAGTTAAAGCTGTAGCATACCACTTTTGAACTATCAATTGAAAACAGAACACAATTCATAGTGTACATTTTTCATAATTTCCTTAACACTAAGAAATAATTTTTATTCCTTTTTCTCACAACACCAAATACAGTGTTGTACAAATCATGAGATTTCATATAGTGTTTACTGAATTGAACAATTACTCAAATGGTTCTTTATAAGCAGCTTAACTTTAGAAAAGCTTGTGGTGAATAATGACATGCATGTATAAAACAATACAGACAGAGATAACTGCTGTTTTTGAAAAAGAGATGACTAGTTGTTACTGGGAGAATTTGCAATCAATTCTACCATTCCAATGATCGATATCATATTGCTATGCAATAAAATTTGACATTAAATTAAAATGTCTAGGACAATCTCACAAATTCTTATTTCTTAATGCAAAGCCTTTTGACAGCAACAGAGAATTTTTTCTCCAATTTGTATAAAAAACAACAATAAGAATATTTTTCTATAAGAATAATTATCAATATTTTAATTTAAGTGCTATTGGAAGAAATTAATAAAATTTTTTATGGCTTGATCCTTTTGAAAGGTTATAAATACAGTGAAAAATAGAATGCTGTGAAACCAATACCTAGAAGAATCCCAAAGCAATGCCAAGAAACAGAATGTACTCATAGTGACTAATACATGCAAATACTGAAAATAAATTCTAACAGATTAAACTGGTTTTGTAGCAACTAAAAGGTATATTCACACCATTCCAAAACTAATCAAGCTTAAAAATATGGCAATCTTCCCAAATAATAAGATTATAAGCTGACTAAGTAGTCTGAATAACATATAAATATAGTCAACATTAATTAATAAGTATACTTTTTTCAATGTGTTTTAATTAAAAAGTAGAAATGGAATACTTAACTAAATTATTTTATATTTCCACTTCAGTCTTTTGATACATTTATTTTTAATACTATATCATTTAACTCTACTGATTCATTCTAAACAATCATAAAGACAAGTTTTCTTTCTGCTGAAAAATTATATATATTTTTATCTCTTCTTACTATTTAATCTGAAATACCTTGTCAAGATCTGACAAGTACCCTAAAGGTTAGGTAGAAATTTAAACACCATTTTAAAAACATACATTTTGTTCAAAATTTAAATATCAAACACAGGTACAGTTTATTACCAAAGTATATGCTTCTGAGAATATGCCATAACATACAAGATTTAAATACAAGTTATCTTAATAGCTAAAGATAATTTAAGATATTTTCAGGATAATATAGACAAATTCTTTGAAACAGAATTTCCTACTCTTTGTAGCTGATGTATCCTGCACTCAAGTCTTCATTTTGAAAATGAAAGTGAGCATTTATAGATTTATCTTTTGGTCAAAAAATCTTAAATAAGCTAAAATATCACAAATTTTCTTTGTATAAAGAAAATAGTCCTTGACTGCTTTCATATACATTCAGTGCCCTGCAAAAAAGCTGTTTAAGAGGACCAAAATATAATTTGTAAATATTTTAAAAAGAATTAAAATACTTTTTAAAAATACTTAAATACTTAAATATAATTATAAATTTATTGCTAAATAATTTTCATATGAGTAATAAAAATATTAGCAATAAGTATATTACTAAGTGATTACATAATATAATAGTAACAACTTTTCTTGCTATGTTTAAGAAATTCCATAACAAATTTTCATATGTCTCCATATGATCTGTCCTTATGAGTAAAAAATTTTATGCTGTTTTTATCATTCAAAGTAAATAAACTATATGACTAAATATAGAACTAATTTTGAAAAAAATCTGTCAGCCCCAAACCTTGTGTTTAATCACATATAAATAACCTTTTCTCTACTCCTGGATTTTCCCCCCAAATCCACAAATTCAAATACATATACAAACACATTTCTAAAATCCAAGTTTAACTGATTCCTATAAATATTGCTTATGAAAATATTTTGCAGAATATCTGATGCAGACAATCACATTGCTTAATATATTCTAAATAACTAAAAGCTAGAAGCAGTAATAACTCTACAATCTAATAGTATCATTATAATTCATGAGGTCATACCTGATGACTTAGAGACTGAAAAGGCTCACAGGTTCCAGACTGCATGACCTTTCTATTTCCAGAAACCCCTAAAGATTGCATTTCCTGTCTTATAAAAGATAATCACAGCCATCTCTATGTCCCAGCATCTTCAGGGCTAGTGAAGAAAACATCAAACAGCAGATCTGTCCATCAGTATCTGTTTAAGCCATTATAAATATATCAAATTTCTTATACTGTTTAGCGTCTCCCCCTTGCAGTTATAAACACCTCGTACTAAGGGAGGATGACACAGAAGTATTTGCTGTAACTGCTAATGCTGACTGAAAACACTAAGCTTACTGCTTAAAGCAATTCTGCATCATCCAAACAGAGCATAAGCCCCATCCTTCAGATTTCCCACTTATACTACTGTAAAGATTTCACTTTTTAAAGAGTTTTATTGTTTTCTGATCCTGTACAAATATTAAATGATCCTGTAAAAATATTAAATATTTAATGACGAATCCAATGTGTCTGTTGTAAATGCAATATAAGAATAACAAAATATGAATTCTTAATTATTAGGCATTAAATGACTAAGCTTTAGTAATGCTTTAACCAAGAAAAGTATGCTCTCTTAAAAAGAAAGTTTCCCTCCAAACTGTGCATGACCACTCATACAACTTATCAAAAATAGAAAAGCCAAAATTGATTAATTTTTATTCTGTCCAGCTTATTGCATATGGCAGAAGATAGACAAGTAGGTAAATGCATATTTGCTTTATAATTCTCGGGAGCTTCATTTAAATTTTGTAATATTCAACATGCATTCCATTAAAAAACTTTTATTTATTTTATTTATTTTTATTTAATGTTTTGTTCTAAAGAGTCTAACATGGCAAAGATAATGTGCAATCATCAACTCCATATACAGCATGGCTGTAGCTAGGAAAGAAATCTTTGTAAATTGTTGGCATTTTTGTTATTTTACCTGCATTTATCAATAACTCTGAGTACTTTATTTTCCCATAATACAGCAGAATCAGGAAATATTAGTATTTATTTTATTCATATGTGGATATATAGAAGAAAACCAGAGGATAGACAAAGTCAAATGAGAACAAACTATCAAACTCTAGTCACAGAACTGAGAATACCAGAGAGAAATGTGTAGCTGGATCAAAGCAGGGATGGGATACTATAGATTGCCGTAGAAGGATATTGGTGATCTAGTGGTAGGTGAGGGATGCTAAAGTATATATTTTTTAATGCATAAAGTTGTTTCCCTGAAACTTAGTCTTGCAAGCAATGTCATCTCAATAAAAAAAGATTTAACTAAAACAAATATATTGATGAGATAGATAGCAGTGAGAGTACAACAGGTAGGGCGCTTACGTTGCACATCACAAGGCCAACACAGGTTCAGTCCCCAGTACCCAACATGCTCCCCTAAGCCCTTCAGGTGTGATCCCTAAGTAATGAGTCAGGAATCAGCCCTTAGCACCTCTGGGTGTAGACCAAAATTCAAACAGATAGATAGCTAAATGGATAAATGAAATAGCTATTAACAGAGATCAATAGTCTCAAAAATTAGCCTTTCTCTTTGACATGTGCTGAACAATCTTTATTTTATGCACATACAAAACAAAAACTAAATTATTATCAATTTAACTAAATTCAAAGTTAGAAGTATTAAGGGGTGGTTGGGGAAAATGGAAGTAATGGTGCTGGGAAAGTGCAATGGCGGTGGAATTGGTGTTGTAATATTTATTTTCTGTAATTAAGTTGATGACTCAAATTTCTAAAATTTAAAAAAATAGAAATAAAGTTACCATAAAATAGTCTTTAAATAATATAATCTGAATTAGTAAATACTTCATCTATGAACACTGTACATACCTATGAAATAAACTAAGTAAAAATTGATTACCAGCTAAAATGCTATATAGAAAATATTTTAGATGGATGTGAACTAATAGAACACCAATATGATTTCCTTTCTCCCACTAACAACACATGATGAGTATAATAAATATTGTCATAAATATGAGTCTAAATCTTGAACTTCTTAAGAGGCTAGGGAATGGGAGAAAGATGTTCAGAGAATAAAAACTTCCAACTGTAAGATGAATAAATATGAATATAAATGAATTAAGTCTGGGTCTCTATTGTACATCATAGTTAATAATTGTAACTTAATAATAATGTACTATGCACTTGAAAATGGCATTGTGATGGTAATCATTTTATAATATATAAATGTACAAAATTAGCATATTGTATACCTTAAGTATATGCCATATTATGTCAATTATATCTTTTTAAAATTTTTTTAATTTATTGAATCACCATGAGAACAATTACAAAGCTTTCAGGTTTAAGTCTCGGTCATACAATAATCAAACACCCATCCCTTCACCAGTGCACATTTTCCACCACCAAGAACTCCAGTATACCCCCCTATCCCACCCCTCCCTCTGCCTGTGAGGAAGATGATTTCCATTTAACTCTCTCTATATTTTGATTACATTATTTTGACAAAAGATGCACCATTATTATTTGAAATTTCCCCCCAACAATCAGACCTACTGAAAAGGCATTGTTAGATAATCTGTTTTCTATTGTAGATTATGAAGAGCACATGATGTCATGTGGCAGCAATAGCGGCCGCGCGATTTTGGGTTTCTGATATTTTACTAATTAAGTCTGGAGGGATTTTTGCCAAAAGCCACTGGGTTCCCAGATTGGTCTGTGTGCTTCTGGGATCATGGCTGTTCCGGAGCTGGAGAGCCACTTGTAGGGGGTAACTCATGATCTCGGTGGGGTGGGAAGGACAGGCTGTTCCACCCCCAATCTCATAAGGTCATTGGTGCCCCGTCACTGCCGGCTCATACCTGGCTATTCAATAGTCTCTGAGGTGGCGGCTACCGTGCTGCCAGCAGGGTGGGGAGGTGGGGACGATGGAAGGGACAAACACCCTTTCCGACGGGAGGGGTACGCACGGCACTGTAGCTTAATGCATAGTCCAGACACATTTCTGCAAAAAGCGTCTGGGTCATAGAGACAGGGTGGGATGGGGGGGGCATGAGGAGGGAGGAATGCTGGGATCCGTGGTGGTGGGGGGTGGGCACTGGTGGAGGGATGGTTTCTGATCATTGTATGATTGAAACCCAAGCACAAAGATGTGTAAGTCTGCAACTGTACCTCATGATGTCTCACTATTAAAAAAAAAATTTTAATAAAAAAAAGTGTCTGGGTTCCCAGATTGGTTTGTGTGCCTCTGGGATCATGGCCATTCCAGAAAAAAATTATATCTTAACAAATCAGAAGTATATATACAATTTTATTTATAAAAATTTCAAAATTAATTGGGTATCTTTATAGACTATTATACATTATCACATTTTTAGAGAAATTACTCCTAATTGTACAAGTTCAGACAGGAGGTCTATAGTTTTTATTTTTAATGTTAAAACAGAAGGTCTATTTTGCATGTTAAAACAGAATATTCTGTGCAGATCACATTCAAAGAATGACAAATACAGCATGGTTGGACTGCAAAGCGTAAGTAGGAAAATGAAAAGAGATGAGTCAAGGATAAGTTCACAGTCCAAGTAGTCTCAGAAGCCACTATATATCTCTAAAATTTATCCTTAAGTGATTAGTGGCCTTCACATAATCTGATGGTTTTAGAATAACATCCGAATATGGAGGAGTACCAACTGAGTAAAATAAAAAATAAAGAAAAACACATTATAAATTCTGAGCAAGGCATGAAAATGGTCAAAATTTAAGAGATGATAGAAAGTTCGAAGAGATATGAAAAGGTACCAGATATACTCTTAAATTAAAAGAATTTGGGGGGTGAAAGATGTAACATAGAGAGAAATGTTAATGATAATTCTTATCTTCTATATCAGATTTCATTTTGAGTGTCACATGCTCCATTGTGATGGTAGGTACCCATTAAATGTGTGTTTACAAAATACCCAGAAAATTATGAGGAGAACTCATACGTGTTTTCTAATATGTGCCTAACTTAGAAAAACCAAAGTTATTATGAATGAATAAAGGATAAATAGAAAATCAAACATTTATTTAATATATTTTATCATATGTATAAGTAATGAAAATACTTATACATATTTTCATTACTTATACATATGATAAAATATGTATATTGGACATCATAATAAACTATTTCCATTAGTTGCTGAACATTATCATTTTTAGTATGTATGATCTAAATTTTATTCGGTGTTTTATTCTTGCCCACACAATCAAATGGTATTTGCAATAAAAATACAAGATCCAGAATACAAAAAACTACTATTTGATAAAATTCGCTTAAACTAAAAAATACTTATTTATAATCCATTAGTTGACTCAACCATTAGTAATTTGGTAATAGTAATTAACTAGCAATGATTAACCAACTGAAACTATAAAATACCTACTTCAGGTGACTATTGCTCTACAGAAAAAAAACAACACATTCTAACAAAATGCTCCTTGTATTGTTATTAAAGTATTCTCATAACAGAACAATAAAAAGTACATGAAAGTACAATGCCTCTACATTTTCACCAACTAGCTTGCCAACAAGAGCTATATAGCACAGAACCTTCTTTTTCAAGTGAGAAAAGAACTAAAATGAGGAAAGATAAATCAACCTTACTTTTATTTATGGGCTGGAGCAATAGCACAGCAGATAGGGCATTTGTCTTGTGCAAAGCCAGCCTGGGTGAGCCAGGTTCAATTCCTCCACCCCTCTTGGAGAGCCCGGCAAGCTACTGAGAGTATCTCACCCGCAGGGCAAAGCCAGGCAAGCTACCCATGACGTATTCAATATGCCAAACACAGTAACAACAAGTCTCAAAAAAATGCAGATGTTACAGGGCCCACTCGAGCAAATCAATGAACAATGGGAGGACAGTGACAGTGACTTATATTTATAACTTACTAATCAAAAAATACAAGATAATAAAGGATCAGTATTCTTAAGTCAGTAAGAACTTTATAATTATTGTATATTTGAGTCTTGCTTTTTTGTTTCTCACTATGTGATCCAAAGCCCTCATTTTATAGTTCTAAACCAAGTTCAAAACTCAAAATTGTTATCCCATAGCCTCAAGGTTTTTCCCAATATACTTGTCCTTTAATTTTTTTAGTAAAATGTATTTACTATTTTTAAAATTTACTAGTGTTGTAGATTAAAACAAATAGTAAATAGTGCAGAAAAGATTCATGATAACCAAATATTTTATGCGAAGCTTTTTTTTGGTAAAGCATTTACTTATTTCATTAATAGTTTGTAAATTAAATATTACTGGTCATGTTACACTGTTGATTTTTAAATGTAGTAATATATACATAGCATAAAGTTAACTCCCTTCACTATTTTATGTGTATCAGTTAAATGCATTAATTTTATGCATCATATTGTATAATTATTATCCACTGTTTCAAAAAAATTATCGCCCAAACAGAAACTGTCACCATGAAGCAATAGTGAGCCATTCTCTATACTCTGTAGTCAATTTTTAACTTCTACTTATCTATCAAGAATTTGCCTGTTCTAGTCTAGGGATAAATGCTCAAGTAGAGCAGTTATTTTCATGTTAATTTATAAAATACACAGAAAACCTAATTAATTCATGGTCACGATCCTCCTGTTGTTCTTCGATTTGCTCGAGCGGGCCCAGTAATATTGTGAAACTTGTTACTGTGTTTGGCATATTGAATACATCACGGGTAGCTTGCTAGGCTTTGCCGTGCGGGCAAGAAACTCTCGGTAGCTTGCCAGGCTCTCCAAGAGGGTCCGAGGAATCAAACTCGAGTCGGTCACGTTGGCTGCGTGCAAGGCAAATGCCCTACCCACTGTGCTATCGCTCCAGCCCAATTAATTCATTTCATTTAATATAATACTGTTTTTAAATTACATCTAATAAACTGAGCATAAATTAGTTCAATTTTTCAAAATAATTCACCAAGGTTATTAAGATTCTTTAAGATATTTAGTCCTTTGTAATATATTGTTATAATTTGGAGTATCTGATCAAACAATATAATGGAAATTCGGTTCTATTCATATAAGGTGTCCAGTGCTACATTATTAGAAGAGAAAAATGGGACTAATAAGAAAGAAACTAACTTATGGTACAACAAAATGAAATACTACATAACCACTTAATACTATGAAAGGAAAATGTTAGAAATAATGTACATCAGAATATTAAATATAAAAAATCTGAAAAAATTTTGTATTAAAATCTCAGCTAATAATAATTTCCCAAATAAGCTGTCAGAGACAACTCAAAGAAAAGCTGAAACTACTAAATCTTCAAGGTGTCATGTATAAAGACAATATTTCTGTGTAAATTTATGCTCTTTCCAAATATAATTTATTCCAGTGCTAAGTATTTGGGGAGAAAATATAAATGAAAATGTATAATGTTTGATCTTTCACTTTCAAGAACATCAATTAAATAATGATTTGAATAAAAAATTTCAGATAAATTTAGCCATTATTAAAAGTGTAATTTGGCAATACTAGAATAGAATGCTTATGGCTATAAGACATACTGAAAATGCGCCTTAACTTTTTAATATATACAGGATCACAGGAAAATACCTTAATATTAAATGTGTTCAATGTTATATGGTGTATATATAGAAGTTACAGAAGCATCTGGAATAAAGTCAGTTCTAAACAAATGTTTGCTCATATCAATCAAGATAAACTGACTTGTTATAATATCCAACAGTTTAAAAAATATTTAAGTGTATAAAACAAGTGTATCTGTCCATTTTCATTTTGAAATCATTTGTCTCACAATTCTGGCACAAAGTAAATCCTGTTAATGTCATTGATACATTAGTGAACACCCAGTTACCACCCTCTCCAACTACATTTTTTAAATGTTTATTATTTTCAGTCTACATGAAACAACTGTCACTTTGAGTCAAAACCTCTATATAATATCATATTCTAGTCTCCAATGACTACCAGAATCTGACCCTGACAAACAATTACATTCCTCATCTTACTAATATTAATATCCTCTGGCTTTTTACTCCATCTCAATTAATAGTTTATCATTTCCAATAATCATTCAGTACTTTAAGACCTTCAACTTTACTTGTACTACTACTTATTGATCTTGGTTCAGTTCTTAGTGCGCTATTTATTTCAGAATATTTTACAAGTTTTACATTTTCTATAAATCCACGTTCTTGTTAGTAAAAGTAAAGATGAGCATAATTATCTGCGAAGTTTTCCTTGAGGATTGCATGAATTTAAAATATAAAGTGCTTAATTACACAAGGCCTACCCATAACATAGTAAGGATATAACAAATGCTGTTGATATTACATTTCATGCCTTTCATCCTATACATAGATCTATGGCCTACTTGATAAACAACAGTTAACAAACATCTGCCATGAAATCTTTCTTAATCATATTTTTGGCATATCACAGTTCTGGATTTACAAATTTCCTTTCTGACTTTTTGAAACATTTGTACTTACCTCTAATTCTCAACTACTAAGCTTCTATTCATGAAACATTTCATACTGAACCTAAGGTAGATTTCTGAATTTAATATACGTATGTATGCATGAAATTAGTAAGATAATGAAGTCCAAAGTCCTTTTTCAGGCTATAAAACATAACTCTCAAGGTGATTTTCAAGTGGTATTTTCAAGAGGAAATAGAAGAGCACTTTCAGATATAAGTCAAATAGAGGCAATGGGCTGGAGCGATAGCAAAGCGGGTAGGGTGTCTGCCTTGCACGCAGCCAACATGGCCGACCCGAGTTCGATTCCTCCGCCCCTCTCGGAGAGCCCGGCAAGCTACCGAGAGTATTCGATATGCCAGACGCAGTAACAACAAAGTCTCCAATGGAGACGTTACTGGGCCCGCTCGAGCAAATCGATGATCAACGGGAGGGCCTTTTAGAGGCAATATGCATCAATATATTCAAATAGGCAATATACTCAGATATGAGACAATATAGCCAAATATAACCAATATAGTCAAACAGTTTACTGTCACCAATTTTAGTTATTTTGAATTCCTCTTCTCTTCATAGAACTACATAATTTGTAGTTTTCAACATAGAAAACTCAAAGTTCTAGGGTATAAAAATTAACAAAAATTAGCCTCATTTGGAGAAAAATCAATTTTCCTTAGCAGTTTTCTATAGACAGAACTACAGAATAACAAATACCAAAAAATGATATTTTCTTTGTAAAATGTACAGATTAAGAGAAAAAAGCAGTGCTTGCTTTGACAGCACATATACTAAAATTGGAACAATACAGAGAAGATTAGCATGGCCTCTGAGCAAGCATGACACACAAATTCGTGAAACATTCTAAATTTTTAGCAAGAAATGTGAAATGGAGCAAGGAAGCCTCTTTAACAAATTGTGCTGACAAAACTGGACAGCTACATGCAAAAAAAAAAATGGGCTCAGATCTCTACCTAACACCATGTACAAAATTAAGATCAAAATGAATTAAAGTGGGAATGCCGACTGGTTCAGCCCTTTTGGAAAACAATATGAATGATTCTCAAAAAATTAGAAACTGAGCTCCAATTTGACCCAGCAATACTACTCCTGGGAATATATCCCAGAGAGGCAAAAAAATATAGTCAAAGTGACAACTTCACTACTTTGTTTATTGCAGCACTCTTTACAATAGCCAGAATCTGAAAAAAAAAAAAAAAAACCTGAGCGCCCGAGAACAGATGACTGGTTGAAGAAACTTTGATATATCTACACAATGGAGTACTATGCAGCTGTTAGAAAAGATGAAGTCATAAAATTTACATACACGTGGTACTACATGGAAAGTATCATGCTAAGCGAAATGAGTCAGAGAGGGACAGACATAGAAAGATTGCATTCATCTGAGAAACATAAAGTAACAAAATAGGAGACTAACACCCAAGAGTGGCCGAAATTAGTACCAGGAATTTTGCTCCATGGCTTGGAGGCCAGCTACACATTCTAGGGGGAAAGGGAACTCAGATAGAGAAGGGAGCACCAAATAAAGGGTGTTGGGAGGATCCTCCCAGGATGGGAGAAGCATGCTGAAAGTAGACTATAGACCAAACATGATTGCCACTCAATGCCTCTCTTGCAAACCAAAACACTCAAAAGGAGAGAGAGAACAAAAGGGTATGTCCTGCCACCGAGGCAGAGTGGGATGGGGGGTTGGGGGTGGGAGGGATACTGGGATACATGGTGGTGGGAAATGGGCACTGGTAGAGGGATGGGTATTTGATCATTGTTTAATTGAAACCCAAGAACAAAAATTTGTAAGTCTACAACTGCACCTCATAGTGTCGCACTAATACATTTTTTAAACAATTGTTTAAATAAATAAAATATATATAAAAAAAGAAACAGTGACCAAAATACAAAGACAGTCTACAGAATGGGAAAGAATATTCACCCAATACCCATCCAATAAGGGGTTGATATCAAGGATGTACAAAGCACTGGTTGAACTCCACAAGAAGAATACATCCAACCCCGTCAAAAAATGGGGTGATGAAATGCACAGAAAATTTCTCAAAGAAGAAATCAGAATGGCTAAAAGGCACATGAGAAAATGCTCTACATCATTAATCATCAGGGAGATGCAGATCAAAACAACAATGAGACATCACCTCACATCACAGATACTGGCCAACATCCAAAAGAACACAAGCAACCGGTATTGGCATAGATGAGGTGAGAAAGAGACCCTCCTTCACTGCTGGTGGGAATGCCAACTGATTCCGCCCTTTTGGAAAACAATATGGATGATTCTCAAAAAATTAGAAACTGAGCTCAAATTTGACCCAGCAATACCACTCCAGGGAATATATCCCAGAGAGGCAAAAAAGTACAGTTGAAGTGACATCTGCACTTGTATGTCTATTGCTGCACTGCTCACAATAGCCAAAATCTGGAAAAAATACGAGTGCCCGAGAACAGATAACTGGTTAAAGAAACTTTGGTACATCTACACAATGGAATACTATGCAGCTGTTAGAAAAGATGAAGTCATGAAATTTACATACAAGTGGTACTACATGGAAATTATCCTGCTAAGCGAAATGAGCCAGAAAGAGAGGGACAGACATAGAAAGACTGCAATATATATTCCCCAATATATTCATTTGGGGAATATAAAGTAAAAGAATGGGAGACAAGTACCCAAGAATAGTTAAGTATGAGGAGGTCTGCTCCACAGCTTGGAAGCAGGCAGCAGATGCTGGCAGAAAAGGCAGCTCAAATAGAGATGGGAACACCAAATAAAGGGTGTCTGGAGGACTCGCTTGAGATGTATAATGCATGCTGAAAGTAGACTATAGACTGAACATGATGGCCACTTAATACCTCTATTGCAAACCACAATACCCTAAAGAAAAGAGAGAGCAAAAGGGAATGCTCTGCCACAGAGGTGAGATTGGGTGGTGGGTAATGGGGTGGGAAGATGGGAGGGCTACTGAGATTATTGGTGGTGGAGAATGAGCACTGGTGGGGGGGACGGGTACTTGATCATTGTATAACTGAAACCCAAGCACAAAAGTTTGTAAGTCTACAACTGTACCTCATGGTGTTTCACTAATATAAAAACAAAAGAGAAAAAAATAGTGAAATTAGAAGGGACTATATTAAAATTTTAAGTTAATATAAGTTATTAAGTACATATATGAGAAAACAAATGCTAAGTTGGCTTCATAATCATTTCCATTTATAAATATATGATACTTTAAAAATAGGGCTGGAGCGATAGCACAGTGGTAGGGCATTTGCCTTGTGTGCAGCCAGCCTGCCTAAGCTAGGTTCGATTCCTCCACCCCTCTCGGAGAGCCCAGCAAGCTACTGAGAGTATCTCGCCCACACGGCAAAGCCTGGCAAGCTACCCATGACTATTCAATATGCCAAACACAGTAACAACAAGTCTCACGATGGAGACATTACTGGCCCGCTCGAGCAAATCGATGAACAACAGGAGGACAATGCACTGCAGTACTACTTTAAAAATTATTTCCCACACTTAATTATCACTAAGAATTTAAGCACATCAAGTGCATATTTGAGTAAATATTAAAGGACAGTAATATTTAATCTTTGGGTACATATATGTGGCTGCTTTAGATACAATTTCAACTGTCTCTATGTGAATGGAATACCATACCTGGGGTGGGGAGAGGTCAACGCTTTTAATACCAGGGCACAACACTGAGACTCATCCCAAGAACATTGCCAGCAAGCACAACTACCAACTACTCTATATTCCCTTGTAGCTAACAGATACTATTTTTAAAATATTTTTTCTAATTACTGTACTGGGCTGAGCAATAGCACAGGGGTAGGGCATTTGTGTTGCACGCGGCGGACCTGGCCGAGCCAGCCCCTCTCAGAGAGCCCGGCAAGCTACCGAGAGTATCTCGTCCACACGGCAAAGCCTGGCAAGCTACCTGTAACGTATTCAATATGACAAACAAGAAGTAACAAGAAGTCTCACAATGGAGACGTTACCAGGCCCAGCCGAGCAAATCGATGAACAATGGGAGGACAGTGTTACAGTGCTACTGGGCTGGAGCAATAGCACAGCAGGTAGGGCATTTGGCTTGCAGGCAGCCGACCCAGGTTTGATTCCTTTGTCCCTCTCGAAGAGCCCGGCAAGCTACCAAGAGTATCCTGCCTGCACAGAAGAGCTTCGCTCCCTGTGACATATTCAATATGCCAAAAACAGTAACAACAAGTCTCACAATGGAGACATTACTGGTGCCTGCTCGAGCAAATCGATGAACAACGGGAGTACAGTGCTACAGTGCTAATTACTAAAATATACAAGTGTACATACAATGTATGTTATAAAAAATATGGTAAACAAGGAGTGTAGAGAAGAAAATTTTAGCTTCCATTTCAACTTCCGGAGAGGCATTACAGACATGTTGATGAATGTCCCTCCAATATATGAATACACAAATTATAATTTTTTTCACTTTAGAGCTACATCTAGCAGTACTCATGGGCGACTCTTGGCTTGATGCTAGGCAGTTCTGGGACACCATGTGGTGCCAGGGACTCATAATATATTAATAAAATAGAAACTCAGAAGTTCTATTGCTTTTTCTCATCTCTCTCCAAAGCATGCTCTCTCTCTCTCTCTCTCTCTCTCTCTCTCTCTCTCTCTCTCTCTCTCTCTCTCTCTCTCTCTCTCTCTCTCTCTCTCTCCAGACCTGAGTTCAATCCCAGCATCCCATATGGCCACCCAAGCATTACCAGGAGTAATTCCTGAGTGCAGAGCCAGGAGTAACCCCTGAACATCACTGAGTGTGACCCAAAAAGCCAAAAAGAAAAAGAAAAAGAAAAATGCCTGCCATAAAGGGGGAGGGGGAAAGCGAGGAGAAGAGAAACTGGGGACATAGGTGGTGGAAAATGTACACTATGGAGGGATGGGTGTCGAAATATTTTATGACTGAAACCCAACCATGAACAGCTTTGTAACTGTGTATCTCATAGTATTTAATTTTAAAAATAATAATGCTTTCTCATGGACATAATTCCAACACTACACCCACTACCAGTATGCCCACTGCCCTCTCCTAAGGAACCCAATGCCCCTCTCTTTTAACGCTCCAGATTCACTTGTGTTGATCAGGTCTCCCATTATGTTGCCTTTGGTCCTTTGTTGCTACCTTACTGTGTCTCTTAAGTTGCACATATGAGAGAGATTCTTCTAGGAAATATCTACATGATGTGTAGATTATATGTATATTTTCCTTTTTTAAAACTATGATTTGAACAAGGACATTATCAAAAGTCACAGAGCTATCAAAGTGGCAAAACTTCTCCCAGTCCTTTCATAAAATTCTTACCCTCAGATAACATTCTCTTCTTTTAAGTTCATGCAGAAAACATCTTCAGCATGAGAAAATTATCTCCGCTTTCTACCTAGAGTTGACTCTCATTACTCTCTCCAGTATACTCTTCCAGAAAAATATTGGGAATACACAGCACTAGAAAAGGGAATATGGGTAATTATAATAGACTATAAGAAAGAGAAAATTTTTAAATCATATACCTATGAAAAAAAAGTTCACAATAACCAAAAGTTGAAACAATCTAAATGTTCGCCAACAAGTGAATGGATAACAAACTGGTACATACATACACGGGAATATCATTCATTCTTATAAAGAAATTAGATACTGATACATAGGTGAATCTTGAAAGTTTTCTGTCAATTAAAATAATCCAAACACAAACGCTGGGGTTCCGTTTATATAAGCAACCTAGATCAGTGAAATTTCATGGAAATAGAAATGAAATATAATGATGTAATTTCTAACTTCCAATTATTAAACTTTTCTA